ACAAGAATGGTTTATATATTTTTACACGTTTACATTAAATATGATCTGATTTAACTGTTCATGGTTTAACTCTATTGAATATCTTTCTATTCACCATGGCTTAGAATGAGTTTACAAATGAAAAGTTCACAACTTTTTAATGACACTTATTTTGCGGCGACAATGATAGAAGTGACTTATAAATAAATTGATAAATTTGTAGTATCCCAATGAGTAGAAAAATTAGATTGTCTGACGTTTCGTGCCTCATCGTAAGTCATTTCTTCAGAGCATAACTAATCATTTGTTTATTCTCTGAAGAAGTGACTTACGATGAGGCACGAAACGTCAGAAAATCTAATTTTTCTACTCATTGGGATACTACAAATTTATTAGTTTTTTTATAACAATCTACTCAATGCTCAATTTATTCAAAATTATCAAGTCAAACCTTGGCAAGGATACTCAGAAAGTCACTTACATTTTCATAGTTCATAATTATGTAATTTTAACATTTCATATACACAAAAGTTAAACTCATTAACAAAAATTTTGAGACTTCATTATGTTTAGAATGAAATGTGAAAAGTGTACCTTAACTACTAAGTTAATTTATCTTCATGTATGTTTATGAATATTGATTGTGAATAGAAATAATGACTGAAGTCATACTGACAAGAGATACAGAAATAAATTGAGCAATGCTTTTTCAATCTTACTACTTATAAAATATAAGTCAATCATTTGATAGTTACTATTTAGAAAACGTTTAGGTTTGTGTTATTTTTATCGCATACAACAATGTCAGTATTGATTGATATTAACAATATGTTACGTGCAAATTGGGGTTTTTTTTATCGATAAACTAAGTATGTGTTTCGTGATTATTAACACTTTTCAATAAGATATATTTTGAACGTTGAAATATGTATTCAATGATTCATGATAATCAACTGAACATATATAACAGCAATTCGTCGGTTCATAACATAACTTACCACCTGACCTAATAAACATGCATATCCAAGACGAAACATTGTTATCGCTTTTCAAAAACGTCATAGTCTCAAAAATTCAATGATTGTTGGTTTTTCATAAGTGATGCATTATATTAGTATTATTAGACCTGACAGGACAACATATTACATGGATAAGTGACAGAGATATGAAAAATTTTCTTTAAAATTATCACTTGCATGGTCTTTTGGAGATTTTCGTTTATAACTGAAATCAGCATGAGAACTATTGAAAAATAGGGAGATTGAGCATTCGTTTAATCCTTCTTATGAACTCTTAATCAATGCAGTCCGACAAACCAACAAGTGACAATGCTTGTGATGAGGAGTAAAAATCTTAAGTTCCATGCTGTACACTATAATGGTAAGGAATCTGAAGTGAAGATGAATAAGATATTCACTGTTATTAGGATTTTATTGGGTCTTCAACTATCAGTTATCGATGGAAATCATTAGTTGGGTTGAATAACCGTAATTTTTTCTCATGCCTTAATTCATGTAATTTAACGATTGGAAATATTGTGTTTACAATAATTAACGAGGAAACTTAATTTTGAACTGTTATAATTCTTAATGCAAATGATAGTAGAACATTATCACCCTGATTTTGGATATTTACACTTCTGACAGTGTAGATGGGAACACATACCACATGCCATACAGTCAATAAAGGACAATAGCTTCGTCAAAATTTTTTTTATTTTTGATCTAGTAATTAATACTTGACATAAACAATTAGATCTGGGCTGTCCCAAAAAATACGACCACTATTTTCAAGATAAAGATGATCAATAACAGTAAACTGATATCTACTATGTTCAGTATCCAAGTTACAACACTTAGGGTAACCTAGGGGAAATCTCTGGACAATATCAAGGTTAAACTTGTTAAATAAAATAAACTGAGCATTGATCAGATTGATAATAATTATAAAATAAAATAACATATATGTAATATCCCGATTATTAAAAAACTGAATTTCTGACGAGTAGGCCATTTCTTCAGAAAATAAATAACCAAATCAAAAATGTTTCACTTGTACAAAGAAACAAATCAATGATTTAGTTCACGCAAAAACATGCCATTCAGACCAAAAGTGATTCGATAAGATACATGAATTTGTGTATTCATCTGCATCTGCGTGGGTGTGAAAAATATGTATGATACAAGTAAATACAAAGTTGTATATTAACAGTGGATTTAAACAAATTGAATGTAACTATTTTGGAAAATGGTGTCGATCGGTCAGACAGCTATGTCTTCCTTCCTATATATTGATGTCAACTGGATAGTTAAAAATAACGTCAAGTGCTATTGCTAATGTGATCAATAGATTCTAAAGTGCTGTGGAATTGTTACAAGGTCATCAGGAGGATCTACAATTTCGCTAGAAGACCGCTCAATATAAAAGATATCACATTAGACAATTTAATCTGTAGACACAATTCTGTGAAGAGATCGTTCGTGAACGGGTAATGTTTAATAGAATCATTTTGTAAATAACAACGATTGTACAATTTAAATGGAAAATATTAATAATGATAGAAATCATTTACAAAATAAGTCTACGTTAAACAGCTTCACACTTCTAATGTATTCGAATATTTCGAAGGGTTGATTGTTTTATGGAATATCTCAATTCTGTGTAGTTTTAAGATTTGTTACAGATCTCATGACGATAACGTCAAACTACGATCCCAATCTACAATTCAAATTTTATCCAACAACAAGCCGTCCAATTTTAGTAAATTTTTATGTTCCTTTAGTTTATTTAATTCTACTGTTAAATTTGATAACTTCTCAAAATAAATTAAGACCCAGCGAAAGTTTTGTACTGAAAGGATACGTACAAATAAAGTCTGAATACTAACTTGAAAGTATTGGTGTACGTTAGATATAGTTCCAATTTTTTCTAGCTAAACAGTTTAAAAATGGTAGTTCATATTGTTCATCGTCATTTCCAAATTTGAATCTGCTCTGAACTAAAAGTATATTTACTGGGTTAATAAAGACGTTTTTCTGACATATTTTTTCATTCTATCAAATCCACAATTGTTTCAACGACACTATAAGCGTTTTAATTTATCATGAGACTATTTCAATCACAACCGGATGAGGAATAGTGAAACATCTAAAAAAGCAGTGATCTATACGAAAAAGGGAATCCAAACATATTATTTTGGTCACTATTGTTGCGCACCTTTCTATCACTATTGGTGATCATTGTCTTACTCCCAACATGGTTAGACTTCACCAGTCACAACTTCCAACTGGGAAATCATCTTGAAGCAAGCCTTTAATTAGCACATGACTATATTATTGTAGAAAAGTCTAGTGGAATAAATAGATGAGCACTTTTCCAGAATCTCATAATAGGTCAAGATGTCTAGAGTACCTTGGTTTTAATTTCCCCACAAAAGAAGTCACTGTGACAAATATCAGCTGCAGGATTGCTCTACTTCAACACCTAGATTGATCATAAGCATTGAAGTAGCGGGAGTTCGTCAACCACTTCTCTTTTATAGGAAATCTCACCAGCCTTAGCTGATTAGTGCTTGATGAAATCTCGGCACATCCGTAAATCCAGCTTGGCTATCGTAAGCTTATGATGTCCGATCAGCATTCTGCTGTGGTTTCGGAACATGGTTCTTGATCATGGGTGTCTAATAGGCGCCCTGGGTGATACAGCTCAGCATCCGTCCCAATAGCCCTAATGCTATCACTCTTATATTTTTCTAGACTTGGAATTTTCAGTCATCTACAACGTAGGACCAGGCACATATATACATCGGTCCAAGTTGCTATACCGCATTAGCACAATAAGATGAACACCGGATTCATGGAAGTAGTTAATTCAACGGTGGTAATTTTAGAATTATTTCATTTCACATTGTTTCACAAATCAATTTTTTGTTGTCGAATCATATTACATGTCTAAATTAAATATATTATCACTGATACGTCCATTACTTTGGCACTCATCTTTGTAATTTTAGTCTCGTATGATGTGCCAACTTGGACGGATGCAAAAATATCCCAAACTCTAAATTATCACTAAATATCTGGAAAATTAAATTATTCTTCATAAGAAACTTTCATAGAAGTAGACAGGATGATTTTATGAATAAACCAATGTTCTATTAATTTAAACAATCAAGGCAAATGAAAAAAAGACGAATTTCAGAGCTGAAAATTCAAAGATTGTAGAATTAAATCAATCATATTAAATTAATTCGTCTTCAGAAAATCAAAAAAGTAGATACATGTCCCTTATATTTTTTGAGCATTACGTGCCGATCAACTAATTTGACCTGTTTCGATCTGAAGTTAATTTCAACCGAAATAATTTCCATGTCTATGTAAATTAATATAGCTAATCATGGTGAGTTTTACTGGGAATTTTATTTTCCCTCAAGAGTAGTTGAGACGTATATTGACAAATCATATCCACTCCTACTGCATATTACTTAAGCTGAAAAGCATCGTTTTGTAGTAGGTAATTCATTTTTTCAATATTCAACGGTTAGGGACAATTGGCAGAATAACCGGGCCTAGGTTTCGTCCTATCTGGAACTTGTCAGTATGGCATACCTGTAATGTCGGAACGCACGTCTTCGATTCGATTGCTAGCCACCATCAGCCTTTGCTTATAGATGTCGGGTTTCGAGCTCGACAAGAATGACATCTTAAGAATTTATGACGTCTTACCAAAACTATATACTACGGTACAATAGCACTAACCGAGCAAGTATTCTGGGAGGCATTTTAGTGGAGAATTTTTCACTTAACAGAAAAATGTATCGTAAATCTCCTCAATTCGACCTTGAACTTGAATTAGTACGTTTAATCAGGTGATCATTTTAAGGTGAAATATCTTTTTTATAATTGTTATACTTTACAATTTAAAGACTGATACTAGCTAGTTTAGTCGTTCTTTTAAAATCTAAAATTTCAGAGAAAACATATGAAATTCTGTCGATTATTTTTACCTTTGAAAAATGAATGTCTTCTGTTCAGTTTTGTAATCAGTAAACTTTATTGGATCCATCCATGGATCCGAAGGTTTTCAATAGTGACATTGATTTGGCATCAGTTACCAAATAAATGTGACAATTTAATTCATAAAGCTATGAACTATCGTCAAGTTGGATGGCCAACATATGTTTTGCTTACACGCCTTAGTAGCCTATTCTGTTTGACACATGAGTAGGTTCTGGGACGATTAATCAGAACGAAACGTAACAACAACCAATGACTTTTGGTAGAAACTTCCCGGTTTTCATCTACGAACTAATTGTATTCTATGACAATCAACAAAATTATCCTTAAAATTTAAGTATTCACTCAGCATAATACACAGGAGAAATGAACAAACAACATGAATAAATACATGTATATAACGAATAGTTATATATGTGCGCTTTCACAGTTTAACAGAACTGAATCAAATCATTAGCACAAAACACATGTATTAAATTATTACACCATAATACAATAAGTGGATCTTTATAGAGTTCAAAGAGAAACAATTAAAATAAAGATGTTAAATCATAACACTATAGGAAGTTAAAACAAAAAATCCACTTCAACTTCATGAAGTATGCTGGTAGTAAAGAAGAAAAAAAACAACCAATTTTTTTTTAGAAAAAATATTATTAGTAAAGAAAACTTTGGATAGTAATAATTGATCGATTAGTTAGACAGATAAATAATTCATTGATTATAAATTACTCCTAAAGATAATGCTCTCGTTCTGTTAGTATAATTAATTGGTTCGAACTATTAATAATTATTCACATTTTTGAAATAAAATAACAAAAAGCACAGAACAAACGAGAGAGAGAGAGAGAAAAGGGGGAAAAATAAATGTGAAACAATCAAATTGTTAATGATGGATCATAGTGATATTAATATCATTTTTAAAATTGATCAATCTGATTACAAAATTTGTTCTCTTTTTTCTTTAAAAAAAGGATACACTGAAAAGAAGAAAATACACTATATTCAGGCATAAGCCGATTAATTTATCACTACTGTTTGAACTATAAAGGCACCAAAAAAAAGAGATGAACAACTTCGTTCCCTTTTTACATAATCATCATCAAACCTTGAAGGTATATTATCACAAGAAAAGAAAGTATAATAACATAAACACACTTCAAAAATTATGTTCTGACTAAATTCTGAATCATTTGAAGGAATTCCTGATACGATGGAGCTGATTCTGTTTTATCTTCAACCATACAAGATAAGAAAAGTGATCTAAGATTTGACGATGAATCATGACGCATGAGAACTAAAGCATTATTAATTGGTCGACGTCTTCGAATCAGGTTTATTAGAGCAGATAACCTACGACGACCAATTGGAATAGAAGTATTATCATTAGTAATTGTATTTTGTTTTTCATTAGATAAATTAATGGGTGGTAATATGAAAGGACCACCTTGTGCAGGAAGTTGACGTGGTGATGAAATACCAAGAAGTTGACGTAAAATGTCAGAATCATTGTTTGATCCTGGAGAAACATCTTCACCACAGCCAACTAATAGTAATAAAAGTTCGCCAGTATCCAATAAAAATACACCAGATCGTGTAATATATTGAGCGGACAAGTGTAATTGACATGGTAATTGATCAGCTTCTGAATTACTTTCACTTCCATTTGAAGAAGATGTTCCATCACAATCAGAAGGACGTTGGTCGTCATCATGATCAACTAAACGAAGACTAGCAGCTTTTTGTGCAAGGGTTGTATGAGAAGACAAAGGTTTTGAAACGAAACGATGTACAGCATATAACTTTGGATATATTAAAGTTAATAAATCAGTAGGAGGAGCAGTTTTAATTCGCTCTAGAGCAGCTGATCTATCATCTAAACGTGTTGTTACTCCAACTCTGAAAGCTTTAAAACGAAGCATACCACAAATATACAAAGGAAGTAGTCGTAGATTCGGTGGACAAGGTAGACCGTAAGCTGTTGAGTTACTATTAAGTGTAATACCAGAAGTGGTAGCATATGCTGATAAAGCATCTGCTACAGCATTCGCTAAAGCTTCTCTAGCGTTTGAAAGACCAGAAGATATCGTTCGATCAACAGCCATTTTACTTAGAAGACAAGCTATTGCACCTTGATCTGCTCCTTGAAATACTTCAGTTGCTGTGTGTACAACTGGTAAGCACAAAGTATGTACACGAATGCGACGATCACCTTTCGATGACGTATATAATACAGCAGCCTATGAAAAGCAAATAATAGTATGGGTTTATATAAATACTTTATTATTTCCATACTTATCTATAATTTAAACAAATCTAACAACACTAAATCATTTTAAAAAGAAATAAAAATATAATTTCGAGCACGTTTAAATACGTGAAATTTTTTTATTGAGTTCCGACTAAATAAAATTAAGATTACATTTTACGAGTTTCAGGCAAAACTGTTATCAATCAAATAAACATTATTTTATATATAGTATTTCAATAAGTGGTTATACAATACAACACAACATTTAATGATAACGAGTCAAAATGATATACCACACTAATGTTTAGATTGCAGTATAGTTTAGTGGATACTAAAATGAAATCAAGATTACTGAACGAAAAATTTCAAGCAGTGATTTCCCAGAAAAAATTCAAGTTTAAATCTGATTAAAACCTGGCAAATTCATAAAATATACCGTAAATATATTATTATTATTGTCTAAATATTTGAAAAAGATGTAAACTAAAGAATTGGTCTCAAATAATTGGGATTTGTGTAATTATGGGAGTTTATTAGTTCAGTATGAAGTGACAAATTTACAGTACAACCAATAAGTAGTTGACACCAATAATAATATACTTTTATATTTTAACTTTGCATAAAAATTGTTTGCTGTAACATCAATGGTGAATTTTACCGACAAGTAGATAAAAAGAAAATACCACGTTATCTCATCATGTGATTCATATACGTAGTAAACATAGAATGGCATTCTTAACAAGTATCAGACAAAGTAAACATTTGAAACAAGTCTTTCAATATAAAAGGAAATTAACAAATAGTTTCAACACCAATGTGAATAATATACAGAATAACTTATTCCACAAAATGGTAAGGGGCAGTGAAAAAAACAATAAAAATGAGTGATGACCAGACAAAGGTTAGGTATTAAAAATAAACAAAAGTAAATACGTATACACAGCGAGAATAAACAAGATTGACAAAAATGAACTTCTCTATCACCATATATAGTCAAAAATCTAAGTCAGACTAATTAATGAAGAAAGTCGTTGACACACACTATGATATCAGATTTTATAAATTGAGACTTCTATGAGTTGCAACACAATCAAAATTTGTTTTTCAGTAAACAAACCATAAGGAATAATCATAACAAAACAATCGATCTTCAAGTTGGCGACACAATCATACTTTCTAGTATCATTAGTGCAAGATACAAAAACATAATTGTAATAAGATTTTTAGCATTACTCAACTCATCTCTACACCAGACAGTATTGTACATCGGGACAGTCTGTGGCTAGCCAAAAAAACATGTCCCATCACCTCAGTCAATGAAAACTTATAGCCTCATCAATCGGTTAGTGTTTTTCTTTTATCTAGGATCATATGCTTAACCTCAGCATTAACCAGTCCTATCATATGAGGCTAAATAATAAACACTAAAATGAAATACCATCATTGAAAGAAATTTTGAATGTGTCGATGAAACTGTACTGTACATAAATGGAATCAAAAGTCAACTGAGCTTCTTATTTCCATGTATTTTTTTACTTGAGAGTTAACCCATTGTATTACCTTTATTCATCAAACAATTTTGATCACTGGTTTAGCAACGTCTTTTAGTGCTATGAGTTCAAAATAATCAAGCTCTTTTGGGATAAGTTTTGACAAAATCTATTATTACGAAGTTTGGCAGTGAGAACAAAGACGTGTTTTTCACAGCATTTGAGATTTGACAGTTACGTATGGAATTGTACTCTGACAGTCACTGGTACGGCCGAGGGTGGGGAGAGTCAGCTCTCTTTCTCGAAATACTCTCACAAAGCCACTGCCAAGGAAGTTCTAGTCAATGCCTTTTGCGGAGGGGTGTTTATGAAATTGAGATGACGAAAAGCGAATGTCCGGTGTTTTAACCGGGTTAGTGAACACGGAGAGTCCACCTACGGAAGTTGGAAAATCCTGATTCCTAACCAATGGTGTACATGGTCTCCAGGATCCTGAGGGAACAAATGGTGTATGAACCAATTATTGGTCACCGGCTACCATAGGACTGCATCTACTAGTGTTGCTCCACTATCTTGTGGATCAAACCTTTAGGCTGAAGGCTCCAGGTGTGACTCCTTAAGAAAACCACCTGCTTCTGTATGGACACCCGGACAGTATCACAGCCCACACATAAATCAAGTGACTTGTGTGGCGCATATGTATTCAGTGCCCCTTTGTAACAACATTTATGTCTTCAAATAATATAGTAATAATAATATTTCTCTGATAAATGTTTTCATCGAAAAAGTGATTATGCAATAACCGTTTTTTCTATTAGTAGAATTACTAGTGATTTTAACTAATATCATTAGTTGTTAGCGAGAAAAATTCACCAATGTGTGGTCTGTATTTTGTTAGTTTAGCTGATTTGTAAGGAAGTGATCCACCCGCCAATTCTATTGCATTCAACACCATACTGATCTGCACCAGAGTTTTAATTTAGCGGTTTCACAGACACGGTTAAAAATACAGAAATCAGAAAAGAATCCAGGTCAATAGTGGAAAAATAGCGGGCAAATAATGAAAAATTACTCGAAATAAGTTTTAAATAATTAACTAACTTGGCAACAGACTGTAGCACATTTTTCTAAGCTTTCAGATAAATCTAACTGGACAGCATAACCAGAATCAGGGCTCACATTTGGTAAAGCAATCAAGTCCGTAGAACGTACAAAACACGAACCATGGAAAGTCTATAGTGAAAGAAAAAATTAATATTATGAAAAAGGTTAGTGTTTTACATTGCAAAAGGAAACGAACATGTTAACATGTTTCCTGATATGCGTGAAAACAGACTGCTTGTAAAATGTCTGGAAAATGATATGAGTTTGAGAGGATATACAAAGTCTGCAATTTCTCTATCTAAAGCAAAAGGGAAATGAAGATACCGCAGATTCATTCATCTAGATATGAAACTGCCAAATCGTACATACTTTTAAAATGTAACTGAAATGAGCACCTGCAAAATCCTAACCAATTCTGTATGCTGACTGCCACTATCTCTCTTACTTTTATTAATAAGAATGGCTTTCTCCACCATTTCAAAAATGATTTCTCTGTATTTTAAGTAACCAGTTAAAAATACAATAATCAGACTGATTTTCATCTTCACTATTCTACGTGTTTATTATTTACAAATCCTTTTAACGCTTTTCAACATTATACATGAAATACTAGGTTAACTATAGAGAAATAAAATAAAGATAAATTAAAAGTAGTACACTTGTAGTGAAGGAAGACTTGGTGGGGATATCCAATTTATTGTTTAATACAAAATTACAGAATCTCTTCGTAAAATATGACAACTATACATTAAATACATCCTTTGCACATCTTCCATCAGTTGTCTCTTACAAACCTCATCGTTCCTTAATTCCTGTTGCTTTCAATTAAATCTTTTCAATTTTCTGCTGCCAGACATTCCCCTTGTGATTGATGTTATATACTACTTATATCTGTCAACATAGGTAGCATACACCACACACTGACAACACAATAATATACAGATGATTTTAAACTATTAGCTAATAATACTAACCTGAATAGCTAAACCTTGAGTACATCGAATACGCATAACAGCTTCAAAGCCAAGTTTTCTGGTTAAATACCGGTCGAAATCTCGACGAAATTGTTCCACTCCAACACATACATTTTTTTGTTGTTTATTAAAATCATCTGACGTAACATTAAGAGTTTTACCATCAGTGTGTAATATATGTTCATCCTCATCTGGTGTATAATAAAAGTCTGGATAATGATGAACTGTTCCACTTGAATATCGACTAGCTCCAGATATTGTGGCAATGTCACAATATTGAGAATTGAAAATAAACATATCAACTCCTACCTAGAATTTCAAAAAATACAATATATAATATGGACAAGCACAGACAAGTTTCAGTAAGGCATAATAAATATTTAGTGGACTAAACTTTATTATTATCTCTAACAATTATTGAGAATAGCTTATTTATTTTGAAATATGTAAATGATCTTATTTATTTCATCATATAATTATTCATCTGGTCCCCGTGAAATTATTAAACAAGGACGAATATCATCTATCGCACGGTTATTTTGTATTTTATCTGGTCAAAAAAAATTTCATTCCATTTTGTCCAATGAAATGATTAGTTTTAAAATAGTAATAATTGTCTATTTTCTGAAAAGTGATATAAAAAGTAAATACTCTTCGAATGATCACCTTTTCTCCAAACTACGAACGTGACGGGAATGGGGAGATGGAAAATCCTGAAAGAGAAATTATTGTGGGGTTCAAACCAAGAGACCGATAGAAGGCTCTTTTTAAGGCTACGCATAATTTGATTTTAATTTTTATTCTTTAATTTGTTACAAATTTCATCAATAAATTACTGCCATTCGCATCCCATACACGTTCTCTACATTTCCAATGACACTTCAGCCGTCATTAAGTCTAACGTTAATTATCAATGTAATAGCTTTACAGTCGCATCTGTTCCGTTTCGTATTTTTTTGGTAACCGTACTGAGATCATTCTTATGTATTCAACAAAAATCGTTAGGTAAAATCCTGTTATTACGAGAAACGACCACACTGTAATAATGACATATTTAGATATAATAAACAGTGGTAGTAGTATGGCCTGCAGTTTACGCTATACTAAATCGTACTGACTCAAAACAATGAAAATGTGCTTAAATACTTGACGATGTTATCACAGTCTCTCCTTGAACGTAATACGTAGTATTATATAGACATAATTATTGGTACGTATGCATCATATCCGTCTCACTGAAGGTGCAAAATAAAAACACAGTCATCCAATAGTACGCATTTATTTAATCGTATACATAAACATGTACAACAAGTACTAAGCCATGTGTCCTTCACTCATGAAAACATAAGAATATGTTTAGCCGTATAATTAAAAAACCTTTATTATCTGTGTTGAGGTTAATTTGTATTCGCACGGATCGATAAGTACTATCTGTTATCTGAGTATATGTCATTATGTTAACAGTGAATTAAAGGAAATAATCATTATACTCTTTATCTGTTTCATAATAGTACATACAAACTTCAATAACACATTTTCAATATTTTTTGGCTTGTTTAGCTGAAGAATATAGACTTTTAATTGTTATATCAAAATTAAACTTTGGTACAGCTAAATTTCAATTTATATAATTGACCTCATTCGCATTTAGCAGGTCTAATCGACCAAAAAATGAATAAGTCAGACCTAACCCTGTTTAATAATAGCACTTGATACTACCTATATTTTAATTACTTCTCGAAGATAGTTGCTATTAAAACGTTTAGCTGTTTTGGGTTTGATATTAAAATATTCCTAAATTGGTAATTAGTACATAGAATTTGTCGGTGTCCCTCTAATATGCTTAACAAAGAAATCAAATCATTTTAAAAAATGATTTCTGAAGTGATTAATAAAAAAATTGTGAAGTTCAGCACATATTACTAATATGTTGATTAAGTTACTGTACCATAAAATGAATGGTACAGAGTAGATAGTAATGAATTAGTCAACTCTAATTTTTTTATATTTCAATTATTAAGAACGTTTGCGTCTTCATTAAGGAATTGGAAAATTGAGACAATAACTTTGTCTGACTGCATACCTACAAAACATTTGTATGTGTATGCTAATGTTGTATGGTAACTCGAACTGATGTACGTACGTACGACGGTCTACGTTGTTACTGACTGACTGACAACCGTGCAATAATTGTCAGCTAATAAGAACTTACGTACTTCTAACTACTACATAGTATGTTAAATCTATCGTGTGGTGAATCAACGATACTTACTTACTGTCAAATTCGACTTAGAAGACAGTGCTTCAGCTCGCGCGTATAATAGTTGAAAGTAGATCGTAGACGCATAGATTAAATAGGTGTAATAAACCGAAAATGAGGATAAACCATGTTAAACATATATCTTTAATAAATACCAAGCAAATATGTATACCTGTTTATGTGAACAATCCAAAGCATATGTTTTATAGAAGTCAGTTGATGGGCCCAAATGCTTCACGTCGACTGAACTCCGATCACATGGTTCTTCTCGCAAACTGAGAGCACCTGAACCAACTGTTGGTAGACAAGTAGTGAATACGGTTATCCGACCACCTACTGCACCAATCAGCTTCAGAGCAGCCTGAAAGCAGATAATCAAAATTTCACCGAAATATTTTAGGTCCAGTTTAATGACTTCGATATTTATTATTAGTAATAAAGCCACTCGAAATTAAATCAAATATTACTTCAAGCTAAATACTTTAAGGACGGCTGGGATAAGAAAATGAATATAAAATTATCAAAACATAACCATTTAATAAGAACGAAAATGACTCAAGTCCAGTGGTGTGAACACAAATGAGCTATCAACAAGCCTGTTGCTTAATAGCAACCATCTGATGCATAATTAACGCTAAACAAAATTCGCGTAACTATACTTTATCTGAAAAAGTAAAGACATTCTTGATAATGAGATTTCTGTACACGGAAGCTGGTTATTTAAAAATTGTACAATATTTGCATCTTTAGCAAATAATAAAAGATTGGTTGAAAGAGATCTGTTTTTTAGTTACTGCTTGTAGTGTTAGAAGACGGTTGAAGTCTTATTCTAAATTATAATGCTACGTTCGTACTAACAATAGAGCAAGCATTTGATCTCTAGGATAACTAAGCCAGAGGTCAATAATTTTAAGTTTTATTTAAGTATTATCACATTTGAAGTTGATTGACGTTATCGATACAGATTCCGTAGTCAGGTGAATAAATTTTGGTGCTGTTTAAAACACATTACACTATAATAAGTGCTTAGTTACTTTTTGTAAACTAATAATTTTGATATTTCATACATGTTTCCAATAAAATAACTACAACTACTATTTTATTGGTTATAGTAAAATACTTAAATAATCAATATGAGCAAACTCTACAAAAGACTAGACTTTTGAGTTCTTTTAGTACGACCCAGTTACTTTTATTATTTGATGTTTCTGGACGTTACTTCACTCGACAAGTCCCCAAATCAGAAAACGGTTGAACATTTTAAGATTTTTTCTCAAATGAAATTTTAATCTTTTCGAAAGTGTTTTTCCGCTTAAAAAAATGGACTTCAGCGTTTGGTAAAGTCTACCATAAAATGTATTACAAGCAAGAATAAGTGCTTTTTTATTGCTATGAACACTTTTCATGAACTATTAGTAGGAAAAAACATTGTCCCTTATTACTTATAAGGTCTGATTGTTAAAGTGACAGAGCTATCCCTTTTGTTTTAAAAATGTACCTATTGTCTAGAATAAAGAACCACTTGGAGATTTGGGATATCCGAAAGAAACCGGTTACCGAAAAAACGTTTGTGAACTGAATTACTTGCACAAAGCTCAGTGATGTTACCTGACAGCTCAAATTAAAATAGGTGGAAAGAGGTCCAAATGCGCGATTTACTGGTTGAAAACCGAATTCTTTAACTATCTAGTCACTGCTCCTGTGCCAGTAAAGTATCCAATAACTAGCATATTAAGTTAGTAAAGTATATTTCACATTAATAACAAAATTACCTGTAAAGCAGATCCGAGACAATTTCCTGTATCATTTGTACCAATAAAATTTTCAGGTAAATGCAGAAGAAAATCGCGTAGTGAATCAGCCGAATCTTCAATTCTATTAATCAAACCTTCATCATCAGGTAGAAATATTTCCTCTAAATCAGGACAAATTAACATTCTCATAGTTTCCCCTAAAGCAATCAAAAGTGAACAGAAGTTAAACAATTCAATCGATTAAGGATTACACTTAATGACTGGTGGTAAATTTTATTACAACTAGTTAGTACAAAATAACTGTTTGGACAAAACTGCATAGAATCTGGTTCACTAGTAAATCGATGCTTAGTGTAGTCCGAATAAAACAGAATGTAAGCGACACGGGAAGAGATATAACTATCAAAAGGCAATTAACACAAGGGCTTGAACGAAGTATATTATTAAATACGCAGAAAAGCATCATCACAGAAGCAAGCAAAATAATCTATCAGCATGGTTGTCCCAAATTCGTAACACAAAAAGATTGAAAGTAAAAAAGTGCTTGAGAAACATTAGTCAAGCAAATAAAATAAATTATGAGCAGTGAAATGTATTGTTGTGTTTTATGTATTGCAGTTTCATCCACTGTTCCCGACCACTAGATTTCATTACTTATATAATATTGTCTAAAAATTCCATACACCACGCCGTACGAAACAATGGTTAGTGACTTCATACAACAATGACTTGTTTTCGTTTAGTTAGCCAATAGTTCCTCATTCTAATTCCACTTAAACTGACAATACACAGAGGAATAGACTGATCTGGCATGTGTAAAACAGTAAAATCATCCAATTTGGCACAGGCTAACGTAATCGACCGAATTATATTTCGCGCCTAGAGATTGACCTAACGCAAATATTGTGGGTTAAGTAGTTTCATTATACATAAGCAATTCCGCTGGATAGAACTTGAAAGCTTCTCTGCCTTCCTCATTAAGTCATGTTAGTTTTAAAATTGTATCACTAAAGCCATCACTAGTCACTCCTGATTTATTGTCAATCATTTGACTACTTCATCAGTCACTTGATTAAGTTTAGTTACTTTACCCTGTAACATGTCTTTTATTCATTAAAATAACAAGCAGATAGAGATGAAAGTAGCAGGGTCATTTGATCTAGGAAGTATATATATGTTAAAATAATGTTAAAACTTACCGCAAAGTTTGTAATAGTGAACACTAGAATTAAAGGTCATAAAGGCTATTTGACGTCTGCAGTCACCTGGGATCCGATCAATCAACGCTTCTAAACGTTTACAAGCAAGCTGTAAATAACCAGTAGCAACCGCGTTGTGACTGACGTCAAAACAGAAAAGGTAAGTAGCCGGTTGAGGAGGACGAACTGTATATTCTGAAGGCGCAATAAATTCTACAGTAGCAGAACGAATTTCAGGTCTTCTAGAAGGGTCACCATAAGTTTGAGTTCCAGGGTCATAGTAAAATTCATCTGGGATAGTATTAGCCAGAAAGCAAACACTACACCTCCAGCGTCGACCGGAATCCATAAACTGTACGAACGGGTTGATATAAGTACGACAAGATCTACAACGTACTATGGTAGTTGAACTAATAGTGTGTAGACTACTCATATCTCGAAACGGATGCATAACAAGACCAAGAGGTAAACGACACTGAGTCAAAAGTTTTGAAGTTGATGGAACATTTGTTAACGTACATCGCATCACGTCTTGATCACAATTAATCTGAAAAATCAAAACAAATCAAAAGCATAAACAAAGTACTGTAAAACCTATAAATGATGGTGAGTTTTGTTAAAATACGTAAAATTAATCAGACGACCTAAAATTAACTGAACTGAGGATACTGGAAGGATTTATAACATATACACACAAAATTATATGCATAACTATTAAACATAACCGTAATATAACGCAAGTTGAGTTTACAAAGTTCTTCAGAAAACGACTACAAAACAGTAAGAATTTGAATCCATAACTTGAAAATCATATTGATACTAAGGTGGGACTAGACACAAAAACAACGCGTGACCGTAATAGATTTACACAATTTTGGGTCTTCACAGAAGGATAGACTATAGTATTCAACTTTATAAGTGACCATATATTTACAAGGACGTTGTACACTAACTATTCAGGGCAATTTTCAAAATTCTATCAAAACGTTCAAAACTTAGTTTCATTAAGACCAAGAAAATAAGTGTACACAGACTACACAAAAATGTAGTTCCTGATGAGGTGACTAAGCGTAGCAAAAAATTCACAATCATGGCTCCTAAAACAACACACTCCGATAAGGGAAACTGTAGGCGCTAATTAGATTACTCCACACAATATCAGGCTTCCCAATATCAAACAGACAAAATGAAGTAATTAATAGGATGACAAAGATGTCCAGTCATATCTATAAACCATCTGAATAAAACAAATGCAAGTATTGAACCCTATTCTGATTAAAAAGGGCTGCATATGCGAACATATTACAGTGCTTAAGAATCTAATCTCGATAACCGTTTGATGATCACCAATCAACTATATGCCCAAGCATTTGTCTAAGTACATCAGCTATTCAACAAGAATATCATTTTAATGATTAACAATGAAGTCATTATATTCACCGACTACCATCCCAAAGGATTTCTGCTGATAACCCCTTAGGATTAGTCACTCTCGGGTCAAAAAATACCCTGCTTACTGGAGTAGTCAATGCAGGTTTGGGTGGTAGATCAGGTCCGTCTGATGGTAACAAACAACGTTCTTGAAGAAGGTTGATTGGTGTTTTTAAACTGTTCCAGTCAGATACAGACGCTGCAGTTCCTGGTATTCGAAAAACACCGGATTGTTCATAAGCTGTATGTCGAGGTGTGGCAGACTGTAGCGTATTTCCAGGTCTTGGAAGAGGTGGTTGCGGGTGATTTTGATGTGTTGTATTATTGGTCATCATGGGAACTGGAGGTAATGGTGGAGTCATTCCATACGATCCGACAGAATTCGAAATCGCATGCGCCTCATTCTTGACATGGGGTGGGTAGAGACTAGGCGATTTAACAGATGGGTCCATATTATAAGCTGTTGTGGAAGGTAGTACATTCTGTCCAGGAGTAAGTGTTCTTGGATTTGTGGGCAACACGGGACTAGGTTTATCGAATTGAGGATTAAGAGATGAATGCTGTTGTTGCTCACCATAAACTTGAGAAACTGCCTGCATGTTGGTAAACTCTGATGTGGGGTGACCACCTGAATTTAACGGGACAGATGAACGACACTCGAAGTTCGGAGGCTGAGAATAACCAGTGTAGTCACACACTGAAGTAGAACCACCTTGTGAAGCATAGACCTGATTATTTTCCATAATAGGTGAATGTAGGGGACTATAAACCGACGGATTGTATTGATTAGGTGCATTAAAATCCGAGTAAGAACTTGCATGAAAGGATGAATTGGAAATAGTATTTGTGGTTGGAAAAGACTGCAAATGTGGATTTGTTTCATACGGCCGAGGCGGATGAAGAAAACCTGTAATACAAAAAAACATGAAATAAAGTACAAGAAGACAATCTTTGGACGAAATCGAGTAGGTCTTACAATCTGTATGGATATTTAGTGAATGATTCAAAAGAAGAAATAAAAAACCGACTGCTTAGATACATTTAACTGGTCAGCTGAAACATAAAACAATTCATTAATCTCAAAATGTCAACACAGCTCAACAAACAAAACAAACCACATAATGGACTATGGATCAGACTTGAATGTGACACTTGATTATATCACCAACCTGCTTAGAACCATGGCAATTAAGTGAATATAAGCTTATGTGATCCAATATGTGTTAGGTCTCACACGTATAAACACTTCTGCCTAACAGTAATAACACTTAAATTTCTGCACAAGCAAACTTAGCATATAGTATATCATAAGCATGCACTTGAGCGATAAATCTTCATGACCATCTCATCAAGTAATTTACGTTTGATCAACTACTTATCCTACCATTAAAACCTAGTCTTTTTTGGAGTTATGGATATGTTTTACACTATATGGTGAAATTAGGTACATTACAAAAATGTGATTATTTAGTAGTCTGTTCCCATCCTTTTGTGAACAGCATCGTATGCGGGGGGGGCAATAAATAAAATATATTTTATAGCAACGAACGTCAATGGCACATTTCAAAGTAAATAAAGAGGTTTAAATGTATCTAATATGTTATATATATATGTTACCTGATGTAGGCCTGGTGGTGGGTATGTACGCTGAATTAGTATTATTGGTAGTAACAGGCAGACCATTTATACCATAATCAGGTGGAGTTGCTGATACAAGCTGTGGAACCGAACAATTTAGTTGCTGATTTTGAGTTCCTGAAGGAATAGTGAATAACCCAGATGATGGTGTAGAATTCTGAAAGGATTGATTTGAATTACGTCCTTCCATACAATTGAGAGTATTAGGATAAACCGGATATTGATAAAGATCTGTTGTTGATTGTGTTAATCCCCGATTAGCCTAAAATACACAAGTAAAGAGTCGTTTAGACTTAAAAATGATCAAATACTTGTGAAGTGAAAACGCGATAATACTAGATCTGGTCCAGTTAGTACAAATTGGATAGCCAGCTAGTGTTAATAGTCACTACATCTTTTGTGTACATCAATACTTAGTACAGGAGTTTATACTTAGTATATGAGCTATATCAGTGAACGAATTTGAGATGGTTTCAACAGACAAGTCATACTATGCTGGTTTGCAAATGAACAGGAAACAACAACTGCAAATAACAACAGTGACTCGTTAATCCACACAATCGATGTCCTCACAAGGGTATGTTTTTTTAAAGTTAAGATTTCTTTCTAAAACTTCACACTATTAGCCACACCTAAGACGAGGATAAATTCTGTTATAATTCCTAATTGAGCAATTTATTACAAGGAGTATATAAGTAGTAACGAGGAATGGTAAAGCGACAGTCTAATGTTTGAAATGTTTGTCTTCCAACAACTAGGTTGCAATTTTAAATAATGTTCCATCTATTAGGATTTTAGAAGCCAAGTAGTACTAATAACCTAAATATTCTAAGCATGCTTGTAGACATATTTTCACTCAAGAACACAAACTGATAGAACAGATTACTGAAACCAAAAGGTTCAAACGGAGAGAAACGTAGATTACGAAAAAAATGCATGAAAATTTATTTGGTAACAAACGCCATAAAATACTTGAAAACAGCTGACATATTTCTACGGAGAAGCAAATTATAAGATTTGGTGATAAATGAAATTCATTCTAATCAAAATTATTTTGACGGTAATCTATCTTGAGCTTCAGATTTTTTCTAACTTTCACTTTACGTATGACCAGTTTTACTCTTAGGTCTCAGTTGTTATCATGCAGACCGCCATACTTACCTCAGAGCTTTCAAAGATGATGAATAGCTAGTCAACAAAATAGATTTATCCAGCATTCATCAATGTAATTAGTTGGACGGACAAAGTAAACCAGTTTGCTGTGAAATGCATCTATAGTCATGAAGAGTGGAAAATACGTGGTCATAGATATCCGATAGCAACTTTACCTAATATTGGCGCCTAACGGACCTACCGAATAAGAAATAACGGAGAGCTATGAGAGGAATGTCATTGGAAGTTGCTAGTTCGTACTGACTTGGATAACTGGGTAGCATCATATGTCCCTAACAAAAGTCTAGTCCTATATATGAAGTTGATTTAAAGAAAACTAGGTTGAGTGGCACCGGGGTATGAATTTACTGCTTGTTATTTTAAATCACGTGGAGTATAAGCTGTCCGGATAGTCCTAGTTTAGTGGTTGCGAACGTTGAATGACCCGGAAGAAAAAGGAATGCGACGATACAAATCAACCGACTTGTTTGAAATATTACCACCAGATTAAAGGGCAGTGAACCCCAATCAGTCAGTCAGCTACAACACAGCGAGCCCCTGGCCTTTTCGGATCAGTCACAAAGAAATAATTTGAATGAAATAAAATAAAACAAGTACTCGAACCCACATCTGCTGCGATTGGAGACTGTACTGTTAGATAATATTGGAGGGTATATGATCACAACACTCAGGTAGTTGGAGTAGGTTAGGTTCCCAAAACAAAAGCGAAATGTTGTAGGTACCTAATTAAAATGACACCAAAAACTCGCCAGTCTCTGTATATCCTATTGCAAAGTGGCGCTGTGCCACCGCCTAAAACGATGTGGTAGTTTGTGCCCTTACGGTCAACACAAATATGTAAAATTACCTTTCGAACGTCAAAGAGAAAATATAGATGTTTCACTGAGAATAGCAGTAGCGTCAGTACATGTGTAAGATTTCGGTTTAACGAAGAGAAAAACTATATAACAGAAGTACTTTTGAACTTATGGACTGGAAGGATGCAATCGCCACTCTTATACATAAAGCCGGATCAAAATAACTTCCATCAAACTACAGACCTGTCAGCCTCGCCAGTACCGTAGTTAAAATATTGGAAAGAATAGTCAAAAAGGCAATAATGACATTTGTGGAAACTAATGACTTGCTAAATGGCGAACAACATGGTTTCAGAAAGGGTTTATCTTGCACAACAAACCTCCTTATAGCAAGGGAGCATTCGATAAAGAGGCTAAACAACGGTAACTCACTGGATATTGTCTACATAGACTTCAGTAAGGCATATGACAAGGTGCCAACAAACAGACTGCTATTGACGTTAGAAAATCCTGATATTGCCGAACCTCTCTTAAAATGGCTTAAAGATTTCCTAGTAGGTTATAGACAGGAAGTAAGAATAAATTCCAAGTGCTCCACTTGGAAACCAGTACTTAGTGGAGTACCTAGGGTTTTTTTACTTTTTATACCATATATAAATGATCTTCCAAGTATAGTAGAGTCCCCAGTGTTATTTTACGCTGACGATGTAAAAATCTGGTGAGAAATAACGCAAGACGCAGATGCATGCGCACTTCAGGCAGACTTAAATATTGTGATTAACCGGTCTAAGCAGTGGCTGACATCCATCAACGCGGCAAAATGTCTACAGGCATTTTGGGGACACACAGGTTAATAGGTGCAACATAGGGGAAGTGCCTGTACCCGTGGTCCGGTTTCACAAGGACCTTGCGATGACAGGAAGTCATGGTCTTATGACAACGGCCCATTGCCGGGAGGTTGTAACTAAAGAGTTTAGAACTCTATGTGCTTTAAAACGGACATTCACTAAGTTAGATACTACCATGTTCACCATAGCATATACAACCTTAGTGAGAACTAAGCTTGAGAACTGCGTTCAGGCTGCAAGCACGTTTAAAAGGTGACTCGGATATCCTTGAAAACAGTACAAAGGGAAGCTACCCATGCAATTCCAGGACTCCGGGGTTTACAGTACAAACAGTGGCTTGAGAAGCTAGACCTGTTTTCTCTGGCCTAGAGCAAACTAAAAGGATTTACTTTTGATGTATAGGATACTAAGAAACGATTTTTGACCTGATATATTCTTTTCTTTCCACTATATCGGAAAATCTCAAACGATATAGCAGGCGAGTAGAAGGGCCAAGAACTAACAAAATACCCGTGGCATAGAGGTTTTCACACCAAGTCATCAACACTTGGAACCTGTTAACCGAAGCAGTGGTGTCCGCACCTTCAGTTGAATCACTCAAGAAAAGACTGGACAGTTATAGAAGTATACGAGAAAAGGAATAACATAGGCCATAGGCCTTCTGTCCTTATAAAACAAATCTGAATCTGTAGTTTGGATGTTTATAACTTGCTTTAATTTGGTTGTGCTTAAACAAAGGATAAAGGGGACGTGTCAACCGGATTGTACGGACAATAAGTGGCATGATGGCTATAAGGATCTAGATTATCTAAAGATTTGGGATTATTTAGTCGTTAATTAACAAGTATTCCTTGGAATACTTGGATCGTGGAAGTTTATCTTTTTACCGAAACACCATCAATTAAGAAGTTAGTACTTACTTCTGGGGTGCCCTCATTGTTGTTTAACAAATGCTGTTGCTTGAGTGGGCTTTCATGCGAAAAATCATTCCAGTTGGCATTTGGTATTGAATTTCTAGAGTAGTTTGCTTGTGGGAAATACGGCATTTCAGGATTATTCATGTCGTGAAGTCTGTTTGATACTTATAACTATAAATTATTGGGTTTTAATGTCAGGTACTCAAAAAATACAAGCCACTTGAATACTTCTTTGCAACTACTAACTGACTAACATACTTGATTAAATAACCCTGAAGCCGCATCACGTTAAACAACATCATTGGCAAATTAAAAATACTTGTCGCTCAATATCCAATTAAGGTTTGTAACTCTGTTGAGCAAAATTACTGGCCTGTGAGCCATATGGAATGTGTCTGGATTACAGGAGATGTTCCTTTTGCATGAAAATGTTCAGCCTTCGTTTCATTTTCTGGAAATCTGAAGTAAATAATTTTTATGTGAAATTGAATTAACACGACCAATATTCGTGGTGCAGCAACTGGTCAAACGTGTGTCAAGCTAAACTCCTATTCTTGTCATGTCTACGGATTTACTCCGATGTCAAATCTAGACAACCGATCAAGTTGAGGAAATTCTCAAGTAATTTTGTCTATGCTCCTTTAAAGTTTCTTTCAAAGATTTATCCTCAGATACGTTTTCTGATAATAATAATGTATGATAGAGGTTTTAGACAATACAAACTACTCTGGAGTTGCCATTTTATCTTCGAAAAGATAGAAGACTTCAAAATGAGTTTAACAAGAGGAGGGTTTCCGTTTTTACTTAAGTATGTTGAGGTACTGATTCCAATCCTGATCTCTCAATAACTTTGAGAAACAAAATAATTTTTCACAAACACATAAGTTTCTGCTAGCTTTAACGGATACTAATATGTAAAGGCGCTCGGCCAAGCATACTCATACACTCAGTGCGTGATCTTAAGTAGGATGTTTTGTAGTGGCATTGGACAATAGCCACACAATCCACAAAGCTGTGAACACGAGACTACTCAGAAAATAGATATTCAATATTTAACGCGGAGAAATACCTAAAAATGGAGAAGGCGCGAACAATGAATTGAATGGACTGGAGTTGATCGAGTGGCATGGCTCGGCCATGCAGGCGTGGTCTCTATTCATATTAAATATATTGTTCCTTCTCTAAACTAACCTTGTTCTTCATCATGTATTGGTAATTGATACGATACAGTGAGTTGGCGTAGTCGATGGTGTGACTTCCACGTAAGATCTTATAGATTAGGCAGTTATATCATGACGAATCTACAAATTTAGGATTAGGTCTATTATTAGAGCAGTACTAATATCGTAGTAGACCATAGTTCTACATTGGTGAGCCCAACTAAAGAAACGCAACCTATTATATAATAATAAGGATTAATAATATTATTAATCCTTATTACCACTTCAACTTTCTCGATCGATTTTATATTTATGTTAACCCTGTATTCTAATAGTCTTCTGATTAATGCTCACATGCATTATCGTAATGTTATATCTATTAGTTCACATAACTTACTAGCTCATTCGATAATAAAAACTGGTCGTCTATATTAACTAATTAGCTTTGATGGTTTGTTAACAAGCTTTAATAGCATTTACATGCTTCAGCGACATAGGCTTGTTTAAGCATCAAGCTCTAGGAAATATGACCTGTAAATAGCGTAAATATACATTGACTAACAATGCGATCAAGGACTAAATAGTTATCTGGATCTAATTCTCAGTGTTCCTTCACTTAACACCTCATCCTGTTTTAAACGATGCACTATCCTGTAATATCTTTTCTTCCGACCACTGCCTGCCTAATTTCATATTCACGAGTTCCATTGCCAAACAACGAGGATGACTACTCCAAAAACATACGGTGAGTTCCAGCTATAAGTTTTCTGCAATCATAAGTTCACTTTAGATGGCACACACAATTATCTGGATTCATTCAATTGTTCTGATCAGAGCGAGTCCCAAAGACCTCAACAGCATCAAGCACCCTGGAAGTGATTGCCATACTGTATGTTTTATTCTGGATGCTTTTGGATCATTACTACTCCTCACGAATGGCGTTATATATGTCGTCCACTGAATAATCTAATTTTCAAAAATAATCCAGGCGAGTTCAACTATTTTACTGGATGATTTTTTTTACTTAACATGTATATGTTTTCCGGTTCCTTTTGCTATATATTTGTAAGTGTCCCTAGGCTAAATGCAGTAACTCCTTATGGAATGTTTATAACACATCATATTCCTGCCTGAAGTTTCACAAGCAGTCTAAACTTTAAAATTATTTTCTGGTCATGTTCCTTATTTTTAAATCGTCATATACGTCAACAACCTGCATGTTAACCTGGCCCATACATACGTTACACTATATCTCCATGTCTTATAAATTTAGAAATCATCTGGATCGCCTTTAACATTTATCAATAAACCCATCATAGTCGTTGTTGCTAATCGTATGGTTTATCATATTAGCAGCCTAAAATGCGAACATAGTTTAGATAATAAGATTAAAAATTTAGGTACTATCAACTGCACTAGTGAAATAACTAAATCCCCAAGTAGCTGTTGGCTAAACAAACGTTTAAAATCAAAACTCCGTAGCCTACTAGAATTAACACTAAACGAATATTTCTGAATTAAAATTTATAATTAAATTAGGCGTCTCGGATTCTTTCTGATGATTTCGAATCACCTAAAGCAACAATACTATTTTTCCACTGACTAATCCTCAATCAACACTATAACTAGCTAAACGTAATAGTTTCAAGATATCGTCATAAAGCATTGTCATAACTTGACAATCACGTAATATGACTGATAAAATTAATGTAACTATTAACGAAATCGGTCAACAAATTGACTTATAATTACCATTATATGGTGTTGTTTTCTTGGTATCTTCATCCATCACAGATGATTACAGTATGTTTCTCTATCAGTTGCTCATTCAGTAAATATCTCAAAACCTTGTCAGTCTAATTGGAGGTTTAGCGATACAATCATGCATGCAAATAATCAGTATAAGCAGTCGAGCAAATCTCCTGCAAACTGAAAACATCAATGTCGAATTTACCCCAACACTCACTAAGGTTCAAGCCATTATCATAGACGTGAGTTGGGAGTGTACTCCCCTTGGTTACAACTTGTGTTCTTCCTGATAATCACATGAGCATCACTCACTGTTAATCATCTTGTAAAAGCTTATTTAGCCGAATACATCCTGCGGCACCACATCACTTCGTAATATGACACAGGCCTAACTGATTTTAATAACCTATAACCACTATATCTCAATTTAATCTTATTCCGCCTTATGATAAACTGCATACTTGCAACTAACTTGTATGCCCAATCAGCCAGCAAGTATAAATATAAATAAATAGTCTATTGCAGATCAGAACATTGAGTCCAGAGCATGTCTCTTACGAACACACTCATGTTTAGCGATTTGTTCCTAGCTATCTGTCCAAAATTCATATAATTATCACTCACGTATTTAAATTTTATTTTGATAACCATTCATGTGTATTGGTAGTATTACTAAATTCTATCACGGTCAAGTAAAAATGAAGTTGAGAAAATCTCCCCGTAACTAAATAAACCGTATCAAACTAACTGGAACACTAGTTGGAATTCTTTTCCATGGTAATACTTTTGTTCTCCCAGTTAGCCTACTAATACAGATGCAATTGGAAATCACATATGGACGGGTTACCGGCATAATTGTTAATTCGTTTCATAATTTAAACCAAAACTAATACCAATATTAACATTTCTACAATATTCATTACTTTAATATTTCTAAACACAAAATACTTACTACCTATACGTCAAGTTATTAACCAACGGCTATTAACACGCATTGTTTTATTATTATTACTGTAATCCCATTTTTTTTATAGCTCAAATAATCTTCACCCAAATTGTCATTTTAAGTGTGTTAAGCATGAAGGCAGATTTTTTTTTAAAAAAAATTATTACATGTATTTCCCGACCAGATGCTGCCGCCTTCTTTTTGATTTATCTTTCAGCTTATCATTACCCGGGGGATTCTTCCTAGTCTTGGTAACCTTCGGCGCACGACGATCCCATCCAATTTGGTATCGAACCAACATCACGTTGATTCTGGTGGGAGAGTAGTGTAGTGGCATTGGACAATAGCCACACAATCCACAAAGCTGTGAACACGAGACTACTCAGAAAATAGATATTCAATATTTAACGCGGAGAAATACCTAAAAATGGAGAAGGCGCGAACAATGAATTGAATGGACTGGAGTTGATCGAGTGGCATGGCTCGGCCATGCAGGCGTGGTCTCTATTCATATTAAATATATTGTTCCTTCTCTAAACTAACCTTGTTCTTCATCATGTATTGGTAATTGATACGATACAGTGAGTTGGCGTAGTCGATGGTGTGACTTCCACGTAAGATCTTATAGATTAGGCAGTTATATCATGACGAATCTACAAATTTAGGATTAGGTCTATTATTAGAGCAGTACTAATATCGTAGTAGACCATAGTTCTACAGTTTCTCTTCCTTCAGATAACTATTTTGGAATTCGCAACCTCTACTACATAAATCGGTAATCGAATGTACTTCCCATAACGTAAAAAGGTACATGAAAATCATCGGAAGATCACTTATTCTGAATTGAGTACATCTTCAAAAGATACTTTAACGAGATTTATATTTGGAATTTACCATAAATATTTATTTATAGTAAAATTATCTACCAAACAGATGTCTAGCCATTGTGAAAAACACAAAAATCAGACATTCTGTATCGAAATGAGTGCATTTCATTCCAGCTGCTAAAGCAGTTTGTTCAAAAGCAAAAGAAAGTATAATCAATACCTGCTCTAACACCTGAGTTCAATACAAAAGTGTAAACTTATTAGCAAATAATCTAAAGATCGAAAAACTGTTTGAAGCTTCACAATGACATTACGCGTAACATCTTTGTAATCGTAGTATGCCAACTAAGCCAAATCAGAAGTCAAAAATGATGGAGTTCGAAAATACATGTGGAACGCTAACGACATACCGAGAAGCTTTTGATCTAGGTAGGTTGGCAGTTAAATGGAAAGAGTGCCAAGACGTATTCACTAGCGATCTGGTGAAGATGAGTGACCGAGTACCTTTGGCTAGGCACATCCAGTAAAATTAGTACGGTGACCATCAATGTCGAACATTTACAGAACTATTTCTTTCGGGAATTTATTAGCCGCTACAGCTCACTCCCCATCAACTAGG